GCACCATGCCCTTCATCTACTGCAACATCAACGAGGTATGCCACTATGCCAGGCGCAATGATAAATCCTACTGGCTCTCCACTACTGCCCCTATCCCCATGATGCCCGTCAGCCAGACCCAGATTCCCCAGTACATCAGCCGCTGCTCTGTGTGTGAGGCACCCTCGCAAGCCATTGCTGTGCACAGCCAGGACATCACCATCCCGCAGTGCCCCCTGGGCTGGCGCAGCCTCTGGATTGGGTACTCCTTCCTCATGGTAAGGTCCTGCACTGTCCCCTCCCCCAGTTGGAGGCAAAGGGCCCCTTGGACTGGTTTCCAGGCTCAAGGGACACCAGGTAGAAAGCATAGAGTTTGAAAAGAAGAGAAATGCTTGGACTGGGCTTGGCTAAAGAATGCAGAACCCAGTTCTGCATGAATGGCAGGTAGTTATGAGTGTAGGGGAAAGACAGCAGTTTGCACCCAGTGGTTCAGGGGCTAGAATATCTGTGAGTCATAGGTCAGTGCTCCGCCATCTCCATGCCTGCTTCAGTTATGCCACACCCAAGGGAAGAGCAAAGCACACTATGATCTGAGAGGACAGTGAGGGAGAGGCTGTCACCACTCGGGGCCAGGACACAGTCTCACTAATCAGCCCAGCCATGGCACTGTCCCCTCTTCTGTCCACCCTCCCAGATCCCTCTGGCCTCAGCCATCTCCTCCCAGAAGGCTTTGATGAGTGCATGCTGTGTTTATATGTCCTTGCTGGTATTTTTGCTGTCTCTCCATTTCGGAGGGAAGGCAGCGGCCAGCCGTGCTGTGTGTCTTGCTAAGAAAAAGAATAATCTGCAGGCCCAAAGAGGCCTCACATCCCTTACATAATATCCTCTGAATACCTGGGGATGGAAATAAAAGGTCAGGTTTAGGGTCAGGACATCCCCCAGGGAAAACCACTGTGGCACCCATTGAAGTACTCTGCCTTGCCAGAGCTTTTCTGTTGAATTGCCAAGGGTGAGATGGTGAAGAGTGTCTTTAAAAAACGACCAAAGCTGCAGGCTCCCTAACATTAGCGTACCTACCCAGAGAAAGGTACTTTCCCTTGTTATGCTCTGTCTTTGGACATTGGATAGTTTATCCCAATGTAATACAGAACCACCTCACCTGTCCTTCTGTCCTGTCCACCACCCTGACCAGGAAATAAGAAGAGGCCCCTGAGCTTCCACAGGAAATGGTACAAACACTGTGTACTAAAGCTCATGTGCTCTGCTTATGGGAGGGCTCTCAGCCCTTATTCAGAATCTCTTTACTCTTCCTTTACACATTAATTCTAACATACTAGAATATTGTTCCTGAACATATGTAAGGGTGAGAAGTTGGACTGCCTAGCAAGGCATGCCGAAGCAATGAGACATACCTATTAAAAAGAAGAAAATCATTCAAAGGAGGCCCAAGAGTTCTATGGGCTGTACCCCTTGGTATGGGGCTCTTGCATAATCATCCCCCACAAAAACTGACATTCACAATGACGAGCCTGATTCATCTGCAAAGTTTCAAATAACCTAGTGTCTGCTACTCAGTAAAGCAGGAAAATGTGTTGTGCGTTTTAGAAAGTTTTTGATTCTCAGGGTCAAAATGAGGAAAATGTTGATGCTGCAGTTGTCAGGAAAGGTCACCTGAAAGGTCCCATGGAGACTCTCACTCTTGCAAAGTTCTGCAAAGTAAGGAGTCCCTGTGTGCCAACTTGGGCATTTGTCCCATTGGCCACTTTCTGACACAGCTGTGTATTAGGCCTCTTCCCTATCTCCTTGTGGTCCAGATGATAGCCCGGCTAAAGTGAAGGGAGAGAGGCAGGAGTGTGGAGAGACTGAAGCTGCCGTCTATGGGAATAGTAACTGAAGACCACCAGCTCATGTGTAGCCCTGAAACTGAATTCTGAGGGAGCCCTCCGAGGTGAGGGCCGGGACATTTGGGCCAAATACAACAAATTAAGGAAAACTTCAGTAGTGTTTTGGACTGTCCCTCTTTCCCTTCTTAGAGTACAGTGCATGGTTGAGAGAGGGCTCTGAGAACTGCAGTCCAGAAGCCTATTGAATTTTCCTTCACTCAGCCTTTCTCAGATCCATTTGTCGGTGGAAATTTTGCAAGGGGGTACCTAACACACCTCTGAACCCAGTGGGACAGTAGCAGTTTGGGAATTACTGCTTGACATGTAGTCATTGCCCACATAATGGGTTGGGGGGGCACTAGGGAGCTTGGAGGGGGGCACTCTTGGCCCTGAAAGCTGCTATCAGGGAGGACAAGCAGCCCCTGCCCCTAAAACACAGCTCTTGGTATGCTGGCTTGAAGTGGGGGCTGAGACAAAGAACCAGGGCTTAGGAATGAAGCTCACGTGCCCCCTGTAGAAGCAGAGCACCCCTCCCTCCCCACACCAACCCTTGGCAGGCACAGCTCACGCACGAATCTCCTGTCTGTTTCAGCACACTGCCGCTGGTGCCGAGGGTGGAGGCCAGTCCCTGGTCTCACCTGGTTCCTGCCTAGAGGACTTTCGGGCCACCCCTTTCATCGAGTGCAGTGGTGCCCGAGGCACCTGCCACTACTTTGCAAACAAATACAGTTTCTGGTTGACCACAGTGGAGGAGAGGCAGCAGTTTGGGGAGTTGCCTGTGTCTGAAACGCTGAAAGCTGGGCAGCTCCACACTCGAGTCAGTCGCTGCCAGGTGTGTATGAAAAGCCTGTAGGGTGGCACCTGCCACTCTGCCCCTTGCCCTCCCCTGCCCCTCACAACAGTCACCTCACAAACCTGAATGGTCTGAAGAAGGAAGGCCTGAGCCCCTTTGCCTATCTGTCAAGTTGTACGTTGGAGTCTCATTTGGGCTAGACTACGGGACACTCGTCACCCCAGCTCTCGGGTCCAGAGAGATGAGCCCACCCTGCTGAGATCTGCTGTCCCGTTTCCGTCAAGCTGGTGCTACTGTTTGATTTGGATGATTGTGTGACTATTCATGGCTACCTCAGAAAGATTTGATGGGCCACCACTGCTAGCTTTCTCCTCACTGTCTCGATCGAAAAGCTCTCCCTAATCGCTAATCAGTCATTTCTTCATGTACAGAGGTCAGCACACATTATTTAGCTTCAACCAGAACCCAGTGTTTCCACACTTAAATTATCTAAGCGAATATTCATGGATGGCTCAAGTCTGCACAGGGCAAGTCCTCACTGTTCAAGGAGGCCCACTGTGTCTAGGCAGGCAAGAGAATTGAAATGAGGTGCTGCCACCCAGTAGCCCAGGGTGAGCTTTAGCTCTCTCTAGAATGAGCAAGACTGGGCCCCATATGGCCTAGGGAGGCTTGAAGTCCAGCTGCTGGGTGGTGGTCATTAATGGCATATGGTCCTAGTCAAACCGTTTCCTCCTTGCCAGCTCCCCCTCCAGCCAGAGACAGAGGACTTGGCCTGGTCCAAAGTAGAGCAGAGGATGCAACAAATGTGGCCAAGCCTATCAAAGGGAATGAGAATGACAGCCTTTTTTCCTGGGCCAGGAGTAGAGGTGTGGGTGGGTAAGGATGTGTGAATTTTGCTTTTGACTCCAGGAACACAAAGGTAAATCCCACATCCCAGTTTCTCAGAAGTCCCTGTTTACTCCAAATGCCATCCAGATGTGTGCAATGTGGCAAATTGAAGGTGCACAGTGTTGGTTTCCTTATATTCTGAGGATGTTAAAGACTTTCTGCTAAATGGTTGCCCAATTGCTCTTTCACAGGTAGCCTATTAAACTATTTTAATATGTTTTTTTAAACCTCATAAAAATCTAGCACACTCTTCTCTTGAGCAGTTAGCAGACCTGAAGCAAGCCTGAACTGGCTATGCAGTACACTGTATTCTGTTTGGGGGAATTTGTTTTAGCCATTTTCTTTAATTACCAGTTTCCCAGAACACTCTTAGCTATGTTGACATGAGGCAATTTCTTCCAGGTGATTCTGTTTCCTTAAGTATTATATAAACTGTGCCAATACAGACAAAGCATAATCAGTATAATCTGAATTATTATTATCTTCACCTCCTGAGTAATAAGCATGATGTCAGTTTTGTACATAGCAAATAAAATAAATGAAATCGGAACATGTGACTCTTTTGATGCTCTTTTATGAAAACTTTTCTAATGTCCATCTCACTGCAATTTATGAGTCCCTCTCAGAGCCTGAGAGATTTCTGTTACTGCCAAGTCGAACTCTATAAAAAAACACTGAGGCAGGAAAAAATTAGAAGATGATCAAAGTCAAAGGGCTGAAACAGTCCTCTAACGGTCAACAAACCCATTAGCTGCTTCAAGATAAGCCTATGCCTGCTTTTATCCCTGTCACATGCTAGAGTTCAACATATCAAAGCATGATGTAGGTTGATAAAAATAAATAAATTTTTTGAATTAAAAAAAGAGTTCAAGAAAGGCATTTTCATACTTCTGCAGCCTTAGGATCATTTGTAGATAAAATAAAAGAGAATGTTGGAGTCATTAAAAACAAATCCGAGCTCTGTGTGTGTGTGTGCATATATTTATATATGCATAAAATACATCCTCTGGGAGGATAAACAAGAAGTTAATACCACTGGGAATTTTCAAGGGAGGAACTGACCTATCAGAGAGAGAGTCAAGTCACTGAATATAATTTTATATCTTTTGAATTTTGAACCATTGGAATATACTGGGGAAAAAAGAAAAACGTGGAATCTAAGGAAACAAGTGAATTGGTTTGGTGCTAGCTTCCAGTTGTTGGCCTTCCTCAGGACTTGATTAAGGATTGGGGTGAAATGCAGGCAAGTTAAGGGAGCAAGGAAAGGAAAATGGGAAGATATGGCTGGGGCTTGAGGTTCATCCTCACAGGAAAGTGGTTAGCAAAGCTAATTTGATGAATACATGCTTTAAAACCTATTATGTTGCTATTCCTCAAATGGTTTGGAATTGTATATGATGCACAGATTAAGTGTGTAATTACCACATGAACAATTCTAAATATGGCTGTCAACCAAGTAGGGTATACTTCAAACACAATTTATTTTTAATTTACCAAACAAAAATCAACAATTTAAGTCACTGATTGGCAAGCTACAGCCTGCAGGCCAAACCCAGCCCTCCACCTGTTTTTGTAAATAAAGTTTTCTTGGATTATAGCCACACTCATTTACGTGCATATTGTCTATCGCTGCTTTTGCATGTCAACAGCAGAGTTGAGTAGATGTGACAAAGGCCACATGGCCTGCAAAGCCCAAAATATTTACCGTCTGGCCCTTTACAGAAAAAGTTTGCTGACCCCTGATTTAAGTGATCATGATTTAAGGACAGGGTGACATCTGACAAAAGTATCAGTAAGAATGGGGACAGTGACCCATTAAATAGTAAGATTCCCACAAATAGGAGGGAGATCTAGCAGTGTACATTTGACATCGTTTCTTTGACAAACATTTTGATATAAATTATAATTACTTAAACTACACAATCAAATAATTTAACAAGAACCTTTTCCTCCCTGATTCAGTCACTTTATTATTTGAGCAAGAGAACAGATTGCTTCTTAGTATTTAGTCCAAAAGAGGTCACATCTGAAAGGATGAAGAAGAACAGCTTAACCATCTTTTATCTGCTGGTGCTTGAAGCAAGCTGAGAGTTGCTGTCTGTCTTCTAGATGTCCATTTCCTCATTGCAGCAGCTGAAGACTTGCTGTAGCCATGTAAGACAAGCTGGGAAGCAATGAACTCCTTCTCATCTGTCTGCCTCTAGGCTCCATGATTGTTCTGTTTCTTTCCAGGGAAGGGTTACTGTCATTTGTTTTGTCTTGTTTTTCTGAGAAACAGTGATTGGCTCAGTCATGATTGCTATTGAGTTTGTATGCTATTGGCATATAGGCACTTGCTGACTAGAAAAGTTTTATGTAATAAGTTCATGTTTTTATGGTGCCAGATGGAAGACAGACCTTCAAGTTGAGTTCCCAGGATTCTACACACTCAGAATCTCAAAATCTTCCTCCAGATCAAACTCCTCCAGTTGCTCAGTAGAGTCAATGAATTCTGTCAGAATATGGAAATGAGTAAGAAGAAAAGCTTGACACTTGGGTTGAAGTGGTCAATCAATACATTACTCAGTAGTTAAGACTATGCATTTTTAATTGCTTTACTAAAGAAAGACTTGTGTGGAGGAGACTTACAATTAGAACTACTGCCAAGTATTAGAAATTCTCTATAAAGACTCAAAATAGCCAGACTTGTTAAATAAACCTAACGACAGTGATGTGGCCAAGGCTCTGCAAGCCCTTCAAGATACCTTTGAATTATCGATGGCCTCAATTTGCTATCCTGAACCAGACCCTGAAAAAGCAATCCTAGTCATCTTGATTTTGCATGGAACTTTTGCAACGAGCTCATTTTCTTCTTTTATCATTCTTTGAAATTGGTAAATATCAGCTCATCTGAAGATTAAAATAATCAGAAGCACCATTTTTTGATCACTCCAGCTGAGTAGAAATTTTACTGTCCACAGAAAGCATGGGCCACAATTCCTTCTTTCTCATAAAACAATTGCTATACATGGGTCTTCTAGCTGAGAGCCACTGAATAACAGCTTACCTGCCCCAGTGGTTGTCACTTCTGGCTTGGCTGGAGGTACAAAGGGAGGCCAGTGTGATGGATGTTTCTGAACTAATTCAAACATCCTTAAATTCTCCTTCAGAATTTCCTGGGGAGATACCGAAACAGTTTTAAATACTGCAGAGTCACATTTCTAATTGGCAATCTTTGACCCCAAATCCTGAGACAGTGGTCTGCTGGTTGCCAAGTGAAAATAGGGGCCTAGAAAATACATGCAACCTCTACTTGAACCATCAGAAGACCCAGCCATCTTCAATTCTAGATACTGTTTGGCCAGGAAGGAAGGACATTGCGGGGAGTATCTGATGAAGGCCAGCACTCACTGCCTATTCTCCATCATGAGGCATAGTTCCTGTGCCAGATGCATGGGTCCAGCTCACTTTAGGGGTGAGATGTTCCTGAAGCATTGGCTCCAAAGAAATGTCAGTTAGTCAAATTAAATCTGTCCCAAAAGACTATTGCTACATATTGGCACGGTTTCAGTGGCAGTCCAACATGTATGGTATATATCCTAATTTAAATGGCATAGTCTTAGCTGGGCATGGTGGCTTATGCCTGTAATCCCAGCACTTTGGAAGGCTGAGGTGGGCAGATCACCTGTGGTCAGGAGTTTGAGACCAACCTGGCCAATGTGGTGAAACCCTGTCTCTACTAAAAATACAAAAATTAGGCCAGGCGCGGTGGCTCACACTTGTAACCCCAGCACTTTGGGAGGCCGAGGCGGGCAGATCACGAGGTCAGGAGATCGAGATCATCTAGCCAACATAGTGAAACCCCGTCTCTACTAAAAATACAAAAAATTAGCCCGGTGTGGTGGCGGGCGCCTGTAGTCCCAGCTACTCCAGAGGCTGAGGCAGGAGAATGGCGTGAACCTGGGAGGTGGAGCTTGCAGTGAGCGGAGATCATGCCACTGCACTCTAGCCTAGGTGACAGAGCGAGACTTTGTCTCAAAAAAAAAAAAATTAGCTGGGTGTGGTGGTAGGCGCCTGTAATCCCAGCTACTCGGGAGGCTGAGGGAGGAGAATCGCTTGAACCTGGGAGACGGAGGTTGCAGTGCGCCCAGATCCCGCCACCACACTCCAGCCTGGGTGACAGAGCGAGACATTGTCTCAAAAAATAATAATAATAAAATAAAATAAAAGGCATAGTCTTACCAGAAAATTCTCATTCCACCTTTAAATGTGACATAAATACAGCTTTGCTGCATTCTAAAATGTAAGTATTGCCTTTAGAAAATAATTCTCTATTAATGAGATAAAACATTAAGTTTCATCACCAAAAATATCACTCCCTTGACATGCTAAGGATACTTCAAACCAAAATTTTTGTTCAGTTCCCCCAAAGTTATGCACAATTCCCCACACCTGATAGTTTCTTTGTTGCCTTAGTTTCTTTCTCTTGCAGTAAAGTCATATCAGAGTAGGATTTTTTTTTTACTATGAAAAACAATCTTGAAAAGGAATAAAATTGAGTGACTTCATTTTTCAGACTAAGAAAAACATATAGCTTTACCTTCTGAACAAGGCTACACCAGTTATCAAAGTCTTTTTCTTCTTTGCAGAAAAATCCCTTAGGGAAAAGCAAAAGAACACAACTTAGAATTACCCTTGGTATTGCACAATGGAGCTGTTGGCCCAGAATTAGGATGTGGGCCAGTCTCTGTGGATGTGACTTCCCAGCAATAAAGGAGGAAGACTGCCTGGGCTTCTCTCTCTCCTAACTCATTCCCTTACCCAGACATACACATCACTCTCTCAAGTCTTGATCTCATTCTCACCCTTGCTCTCTGTCCCTTTCCCTCTTTCCTCATGCTGTGAGATATTTTAACTTGAAGATCATCTTCAAAGTGTAGGGTTAATTCCATTACTTTCAGTGTACAAAAATACACATCTCCAAAGAACATTCAATTAAGCCAACAAACAAAAGCCAAATAGTACTTTTAGCTAGAGGCAATACTTAAGAAGCTGGCATTGACTTTCAGGAAGTTATCTATGAGAATAGACAGAACCACCAGTCTGCGGTTTCTCAACCACAAAGCCATCCCAGAGAAGTGAAAGAATGGTTCACAGGAGGAGGACTCGCAGCTCTTGGTCACTAGTATACTGACAATTGGATTAAACTGGAGGAGAGGATGCAGACAGGACTCAGAACCACTGGCTACTTCACAGGCAGATGCCCCTTCAGCGTGTGTAGACACCAATCATACTTCTGGCGGAAAACCCTGCAGCTTCCTAGATTGTGTGCACCCAGGGCATCTTGCTCCCTTATCTCTCCCTAGTGATATCCCATCTTCCTCCCTGTGCCTGGGTAGCAATAATTTGAGGACAAGAAGGAAACGGGGGAAAGATGATGATAATTAACATTTACAGAATGCTTACAATGTGCCAGGCCCAGTGCTAAGTGCCTTACATGCACTGCACCTCATACAATCCCATAAGGAAGGAACTATTGTTTTCCTCATGTTAGAGATAAGAAGACTGAGGCTCAGAAAGATTCACTCCTCCTAAGTGCGTAGCTAGTGATATGGTTTGGCTGTGTCCTCACCCAAATCTCATCTTGAATTGTAATAATCCCCATGTGTCAAGGGTGGGACCAGGTAGAGATAACTGAATCATGGGGGTGGTTTCCCCCATACCGTCCCTGTGGTAGTGAATAAGGCTCATGAGATCTGGTTTTATAAATGGGAGTTTCCCTGCATAAGCTCTCTTGCCTGCCACCATGTAAGACACCCCTTTGCTCTTCCTTCATCTTCCACCATGATTGGGAGGCCTCCCCAGCCATGTGGAACCGTTAGTCAACTAAACGTCTTTCCTTTGTAAATTACCCAGCCTCAGGTATGTCTTTATTAGCAGTGGGAGAACAGACTAATACAGTTAGTAAGTGGCAGAGCCAAGATTCCAACTGGAGCAGTTTGGCTTCAGGGTCCATTCCTTCCCCACTATACTCTACTGCCTCTAATGCAGATAGTGAGCAAACATACTCTTGCCTCCCTACCTAGCAATCTGGATAACTCCCAGGGAACCAATCTGTACACATCGTATCTCCTGGCCCACTCAACCTATGAATACCCACCAGTGCAACTGAAGGATCCAGGTTCAGGATGTTCATTCGCTGTGGGGACTGCAGGCAATGGAAAGTCTGGTCATTAACCGTTCCATTCTCTTCAGTGTCGACAAAGGTCTGGGTTGTGTGAGGGTCCAAGAAGATGAGCTCATCACCTGTTTTGAAGGAGATATGCTTAACCTTCAAAGGACTACCGGTCCTGGCCCCACTGCTATCATTGGGAGAAGGCACTCTGGTTCTCTTAACCCCTCCCTTGGTGACAATGAGAATGGAATGACAGAAAGCCTGAAGCCAGGGTGAGCATGATTAAAGGAAGCCACTTGCACCCAAATCTGATCATTCAATGAGAAGACGTGCCCTACCATTTATATCTCCTCAAAGTCCAAGTCCAAAATGGAAAGTGACAGGTTTGAGAAAATGTGGGAATGAGAGACCACAGATGGCATGGCAGGCTCTGTGAGCAGCAGTAACAAAGAGGTGGTAGGTGGGGTCACCAGGTCACGGGCCCAGGTACCATCAGGGAGCTTTCTGCCTCTTTTGACATTGGAAAGCATCTCAGGCTAGACCGCTGGTTCTTAGCCCCACGCTCAGAGAGCACCTCTGGTAAGGGAGGAGGTCCTGACCTTCAAAAGAAATGCTGACTTTTTATGGAATGGGAATGCTGACTCTTTATGGATGAGAAACCAGTGAGCTGACTTCGGGTCCTGATTAGCCAGTAAGCTAGTACTTATTAGCAAGTTAGTAAGTTTCTGTCAGAAAGCACTGCCTTTGTCACATTAACATCAGTACAGATACCGCTCACTTGGAAAATGCACTTTGAGATGACTGACTTTGACACAAGAGATATAGTCTATGCTTCATTAAATTGAAAAAGTCTAGGCCCAAAATGACATGGGAGGAGTTTAGGATAATAAAATGTCTGCTTTGACCTGATATTCAAAGGGCCGAGGGTCCCTCTACTGTTCATCAGCCACAGGCTGAGGCGGCAAAAGTGCCTACGAGGTACCCCAGCCTCGTTGTTGGGGCCTGAAGGCCATCTGGTTCTCTGTATGCTCAGCTACATCAGGTGAGCAAGGAGAGATCTACCTGCTGCCAAAGACTGGGGTAGGGAGGGATGCCCCAAAGACTCCCTCTGAAATGGTATCCAGGATTGTGTTGGGCACATCCACATGTTTCTTTTGGCAAGGAATATGTTTGTTTCTGAAGTCTCTTGAAAGGTTTAACATTTTTCTATCATAAGCCAAGGACAAACCACTTAATTCACTCTGTCTTAATTTTCTTGTTTTTAAACTAGGGTCATTGGGCCTGTTCTACTTGCCTCATGGTATATTACAAGGACCAGAAGATTTCACCTCTGTGAAATGCTTAAAACACAACACAAATAGAAAGTGGCCAGAGAATTATTTTACTGAAAATCAACAGTATTTCCCTACAAATGTATGGTTAAGAGTATATAGAAATCAATCCCCCCATATGGCTTGCTTTATGAAAGTCAAGGTAGATATTTTTCCCCTAGACCACAGGTAGGCAAGATCAGTGATATCGAAAAAGCCACAGATTACACTAAAGAGCAACCAAGATGGCTAGAAGGAAGCCTACCTAAGACCACAGAAGGGTCTGAGGGAAAGGAAGTTGTAGGCAAGAAAATAGAAAGCCAAAACAGGTTTAGAACTGAGTCATCTGCTGGGATGTTTGGAGTTAAGGTGTTGGGAATAATAACATCTTCTCTGACTCTGACTTGGACCTTTTCCCATGGGTGGTATGTCTGTGTGTGTGGATGTGCATGGAGTGGAGCTTTACGAGCTGCATCTTTTTTTTTTTTTTTTTTTTTTTTTTTGAGACAGGGTCTCCCTCTGTGTGCTGGTTAATACTGAGTGTCAACTTGACTGGATTGAAGGATGCAAAGTATTGATCCCAGGTGTGTCTGCAAGGGTGTTGCCAAAGGAGATTAACATTTGAGACAGTGGGCTAGGAAAGGCAGACCCATCCTTAATCTGGGTGGGCACAATCTAACCAGTTGCCAGGGTGGCAGGCAGAAAAATGTGAAAAAGAGAGACGGCCCTAGCCTCCTAGCCTACATCTTTCTCCCATGCTGGATGCTTCCTGCCCTCAAACATTGGACTCCAAGTTCTTCAGTTTTAGAACTCAGACTGGCTGTCCTTCCTCCTCAGCCTGCAGATGGTCTATTGTGGGACCTTGTGATCATGTGAGTTAATACTTAATAAACTCATATATGTATATATATACAGTATTATATAAATGGAATATATATATTATATAAATATTCCATTAGTTCTGTCCCGCTAGAGAATCCTGACTGATACAGATTTTGGTACCAGGAGTTGTTCTAGAGGAACAGAATATTAGGATGGAGTTCTTTCATTGGTTTGGGGGTTTCTGGAGCTGGCTACTTAATATGATTAGACCCAAAAATGCTAAGGACTCTACTTCTAATAGTATAGGGAATACTGATAGTCCTTGGTGTGGACTGTTTAGATAGTTATGCAAAATAATGCATTTGACACACCTGAATCATCGCTCATGAGAGGCAAGGAGTTCAGTGACTATACAAAATACAATTGACCATACGTGGAAAGCCAAGGAACATAATGAAGCTGGTTGGTTGCTCCTAAGTTCAGTGGACAAAGTGATGAAAGAAAATGAACTCAGGGATTCTAACTCCAGGCTTCAGAAGCAGATATTCAACCTAAAATCTGCTAAGATTGCCCTAAGTGAGAGTCTTATCTCCTGTAGAGAAAGAGCTGAAATTGTGGAAAAACAGACACAAGCTCTTATCATGCGAGTGGCTGGCCTGCAACAAAAGATGCAGCACAGCCTCGCCAGGTGTCTACTGTTAAAGTGAGGGCATTGATTGGAAAAGAATGGGACCCTGCAACTTGGAATGGGAATGTGTGGGTGGACCCTGATGAAGCTGGGGACACTGAGTTTGTAAACTCTGATGAACTTTTTTTGCCAGAAGAAACAGCTTCCCCATCTCCAGTAGTGGCAACATCCCCTCCCTGACCCATGCTGTCATCAGCCTTTCCACTTTTGACTGAGGAGATAAACCCTGCGCTGCCTGAAGCAACAGTGATGGCCTCCCCGAGGCAGTTGCCAGGCAAGATAATGTGGATTCTCCTCAGGAGCCACCCCCAACACCTCTGTTTGCTTCCAGACTTTAGACTAAAGTCCTGGTGGGCTCCTGGAGGTGAGATTGAGAGTGTGACCCATGAGGAGGTGCACTATACTCAAAAAGAACTGATTGAGTTTTCTAATTTATATAAACAGAAACCTAGAGAACAGGCATGGGCACGGATATTAAGGGTCTGGGATAATGGCGGAAGGAACACAGAGTTGGATCAGGCTGAATTTATTGATTTGGGCCCACTATGTTAGAGACTGCATTTAATGTTTCAGCTCGGGGAGTTAAAAAAGGTTCTAAATAGCTTATCTGCTTGGTTAGCTGAAATATGGATTAAAAGATGGCCCACTGTGAGCGAGATGAAAATGCCTGATCTCCCTTGGTTTTATGTAAAGGCTTAGGGAGATTGGGATGGTGGAGTGGATTAGTCACTTCAGACCTATTCACCCCAGCTGAGAGAGTCCAGAAGATATACCCTTGACCAATGCCTTGCAAAATAGATTTGTGAGGGCAGCACCTGCATCTTCGAAGAGTACTATAATTGCTCTTCTCTGTATGTCAGATCTAACAGTGGGAACTGCAGTCACTCAACTACCAACTTTAAATATAATGGGAATAATTGGATCCTGAGGTGGCAGGGGCCAAGTGGCAGAACTCAACCATCAAAGGCAAGGTGGGCGTAGCTACCGTAATGGACAGCAGAGTCAAAGCAATAGTCTGACTATTGCTTTCAGACTACTGCAATCAGAACAGTCTGACTCGTGTAGAGCTCTGGCATTGGCTAATTATTCATGGTGTTCCTAGAAGTGAAATTGATAGGAAGCCTACTGCATTCCTACTTAATTTATATAAGCAGAAAACTTCTAGGTCAAATGCACAAAAGACTAATTTGAATTACAAAAACAGAGACTCACAGCCCATCCATCAATTTCCAGACTTGAGCCAGTTTACAGACCCAGAACCCCCTGAATGAAGGGGAGGCCAGGTCCCCTTGAGGAAGGACCTCACTATATTACTGACAATTTATGCAGTGAATCGTTCTCCCATCCTTCCCCAAGGAGACCTCCGGCCTTTTAGTAGGGTAACTGTGCAATGGGAAAAGAGAAATGATCAGATATTTTGGGGCCTACTGGACACTGGCTCTGAGCTGACATTGATTCCAGGGAACCCAAAACATCATTGTGGTCCTCCAGTTAAAGTAGGGGCTTATGGAGGTCAGGTAATCAATGGTGTTTTAGCTCAGGTGTGACTTACAATGGGCCCAGTGGGTCCCCAGACTCATCCCATGGTCATTTCCCCAGTGCCAGAATGCATAATTGGCATAGACATACTTAGCAGCTGGCAGAACCCCTACATTGGCTCCCTGACTGGTAGGGTGAGGGCTATTATGGTGAGAAAGGTCAAATGGAAGCCATTAGAGCTTCCTCTACCTAGGAAAACAGTAAATCAAAAACAATATTGCATCCCTTGAGGGAGTGCAGAGATTAGTGCCACCATCAAGGACCTGAAAGACACAGAGGTGGTGATTCCCACCACATCCCAGTTCAACTCTCTCATTTGGCCTGTGCAGAAGACAGATGGATCTTGGAGAATGACAGTGGATTACTGTAAGCTTAACCAAGTGGTGACTCCAATTGCAGCTGCTGTACCAGATGTAGCTTCATTGCTTGAGCAAATTAACGCATCTCCTGGTACCTGGTATGCAGCCATTGACTTAGCAAATGCCTTTTTCTCCATTCCTGTCCATAAGGCCCACCAGAAGCAATTTGCCTTCAGCTGGCAAGGCCAGCAATATATCTTTACTGTCCTACCTCAGGGGCATATGAACTCTTCGTCTTTGTGTCATAATCTTATTTGGAGAGACCTTGATTGCTTTTCACTTCCACATTGGTCCATTACATTGATGACATTATGCTGATTGGATCCAGTGAGCAAGAAGTAGCAAACACACTGGATTTATTGGTAAGACATTTGCCAATAATTTATTTCCCAGAGGATGGGAAATAAATCTGA